AACTTAGAATTCCTTTTCCCACCAAAATGGTGGGAAAAGGATTTCCCACAAATTGAGGAAAATGGGCGCGTAGTGGGGGGGTTGGGAAAACATTTTCTAGGGAAAAGTTAAGCCATCAAACATGGCTTTTTAGGTGGAAATGGAATTACTTTTCCATTTTCCATGGAATTCAACCCCTATCAAACATGGCCTTAGTGCACGTTAAGGGATTAATATTCATTTTAGGATTGTTGAGTTGGCGAATTTACAAAAGTTTAATTTATAAATAGATAGCAATTAGTAATTGATAAGTATAGTCTGTGTTTGAAAGAGATTAAAATTAAGATTTTAATAAATTTTTATAAAAATTAATGAAAATGTGCAATTGAAAAATTATGAATATTCTGAAATGTTTGATTAAAATTAATCGTTGCCTTTAAATTAAATTTTTTATTAGTACCAAATAGGGCTATATTTGTCGTGTTATTGAAAATAAAAGTTGACCTAATTGTTGGGACCCACTCCTTTCTATTTATTGTTGATTGGACCTTAAATATTTATAATCTTAACCACTCCAATTTTGTCATCACGGACAAACAACTCTTCTAAAAAATTTCTTTTAGGTCACACCTTCGTTCTTGTATTGTTACACGAATGCAAAAGTCTCAAATTTGAATTTTTATAACTTAACCCTTTGTCGAGATTAAAATTAAAATTTTAATGAATTTTGATAAAAATTGATAAAAAAATATAATTAAAAAATTGTGAGTTTCATGAAATATCTGATTAAATTATAGTTGACTTTGATTTTTATTAAAATTTAAATTTTAAATCTTACCAAATCAGAGCTTATTTGCAAAAAAATATGTTTATTCGAAACTTTAGCCCTTGTTTGGCTCCTGTTATAGTGGAATTTTTGGGAATAATGTATTTTGAAATAATAATTTTTGGGATAATGGGTGATTAAAAAAGAATGATTTTTTTGATTTGTGTGTAATATTATTTTATTAAAAAACGTGTAGTTGAAAAGAAGAGAGAAAAATGAATTAAAATTTTAATGGGGCCAAACATGACTTAGCTCCTGTTTGGTGGAGATTAAAATAGATTTTTAGTAGGTTTTAATAAAATTTAATAAATGTGTAATTAAGAAGTTGTGGATATCATAAATTATGCGATTAAAATTAATTGTTGACTTTGATTTTAATAAAAAGTTTAATTTTAATTTCTATGAAACATGGACTCATTATTTCTCAATACAAATAATATATTTAAAGGTTTCTTGCATTGCACTGGATTACAGTGCATATTACGCAGGCAACCTCACGTGCAGTTTCCTTTGTTCGCGCGCCTCATAAATCCAGAGAGAGATGGAGACATAGAGTATAATATAAATCTCTTCTATGCTTTCTCATAACAGTTTCAATCATTATTACTCTGTCTCCAAACCCCAATCAATTCAATCCATCACCAAATAGCACGCTTCTCACTCTTTTTCTTTATGTATGTATCTCTTTTGCTCTAAATTTTAAGTTCGTAATTGTCTTTGATTTGGAGTTTATGTGATTGACGGTTTTCTTGATTTTCAGAATTTTGGTTGGTGGTGTGCTGTAGCAGCGGTTTTGGTTGTGACTGGTGAGTGTTGGACTGTTTATTTTCTACTGAATTTGAGATTAGTTGCTTGTAAAATTTAGTTTATTCTGTTTGATTCTTGAAAATTGTAAAAACCCACCGAAGAAATTGTCTTTTCTTTCTAATTCTTATTTTTTACTATTAAAAACTAATTATTAATGGGGTTGGTTGACCTACCGTTTTAGGAATATTAAAACAAACGGCTATGAATTTGATGGTAACATGTGTATTAAATTTCGTTTCACTTTTTAATTCTGCTTCTTTTGGTTTTGAAATCTGTAGAGAGATGGCTGAACTGTATAATTTTATTTGAGGGCTAGGGCTTTCAGTTTGGATCTGGGGAGAGTGAAAGGAAAATGGGAATCAAGTTAATTTTTGAAGCAATTTTTCTGTTTGGAAGTCTTTACATGCTAGCAAGAGCTGAACCCATTGAAGACAAACACGCCTTACTTGATTTCATCAATAATATTTCCCACTCGAGGAATCTGAATTGGGATGAGAGAACTTCAGTTTGCAACAATTGGACTGGTGTCACGTGTAATCATGATAATTCAAGGGTGATAGCTGTTCGATTGCCTGGAATTGGATTCAGTGGTCATATTCCTTTGAACACTCTTGGCCGCTTATCGGCCCTTCAGATCTTGAGTCTGAGATCTAATGGTTTTAGTGGGTCTTTCCCTACTGATCTTCTGGAGCTTGGGAATTTGACTGGTCTTTATCTTCAGTTCAATAGTTTTCAGGGTCCATTGCCATGGGATTTTTCAGTTTGGAAAAATCTGTATGTATTAAATTTGTCGAATAATGCTTTCAATGGGAGTATTCCTCCATCAGTTACAAATTTGACTCATTTGACTGCTTTGAGTCTTGCTAATAATTCTCTTTCGGGTGATATTCCTGATCTGAATATCCCTAGTTTGCAACTATTAGATCTGTCCAACAATAATCTTACCGGAGTTGTGCCTCAGTCTCTTCTTAAATTTCCTAGTTCAGCATTTGCTGGCAATAAGATTTCACCTGAAACATCACAGCCTCCAGTTCTCCCCCCCACAGCCCAACCAAAGAAGCATTCTTCAAAATTTAGTGAATCTGCCATACTGGGAATTGTAATTGGCAGCAGTGCACTAGCATTTGTGTCGATTGCCTTGTTGTTAATTATTACCAACAGAAAGAAAGAAGACAAGAAAGCGACTGCAGTGAAGTCAGAGAAGAAAGAAAAATCCCTCAAGAGGGCAGCTTCCGAGCGTCACGATAAAAATGGAAAGCTTGTTTTCTTTGAGGGCTGTAATCTTGCATTTGACCTCGAAGATTTGTTGATGGCTTCTGCAGAGGTGCTTGGGAAGGGAACATTTGGTACTACATATAAGGCAGCACTGGAGGATGCAACCACTGTTGCGGTAAAGAGACTGAGGGAAGTTAGTATTGGGAGAAAGGATTTTGAGCAGCAGATGGAAGTTGTTGGAAAAATCAGGCACGAGAATGTGGCTCCGCTGAGATCTTACTACTATTCTAAGGATGAAAAACTCATGGTATATGATTTCTACAATCGGGGGAGTGTTTCTGTATTGCTACATGGTATGCTAAACACGATAATCTCTATTTTGTTTCTTATTTTGACTCAAATCAATCAAATTTACAAGAGAATCAAACGTTTTGCTCTTTTATACGCTGTGGCTACAATCTACTTCAGGTTAGGTCATCTGGCTTTAAAACGCTAGGCTAAACTATCATAAAGAGATGTAATACAGGATTTCAAGGTTCAATCAAATAAAAAATATGTTTAATCTTATGCTCTCCGGATCCTATTCAATTTTGCTCAGATTTTACTGTATGTAAGCAAAGGTTGTGCTCTATGAAGCCATAATTAACTTTAAGTGAAGTCCTGTTCTTTTAGCATGCCATGCTAAATGATCGAAAAATGCTGATTTTGCTCACATTTCTTATTGAAATAATTTGTAAGGGCATAACTGAAACAATATGTCACTTGCTGAACATTTTCACCACTCCACAATAAATTGCGACCTGAAATCTGATTCATATGTTTCCTTTTTTTGTTTTTTTTCCCCCAGCAAAAAGAGGTGAAGATCGGTTTCCATTAGACTGGGAAACACGAATGAAAATTGCAATTGGTGTAGCAAGGGGAATTGCTTACATCCACTTACAGAATAGTGGGAAGCTTGTTCATGGAAACATAAAAGCCTCAAATGTATTCCTTAACTCACGAAAATACGGTTGTGTGTCTGATCTTGGCTTGGCAACATTGATGAATCCAATCAAACCACCAATAATGCGAACTGCAGGTTATCGTGCCCCGGAAGTAACAGACACAAGAAAGGTATCCCAGGCATCTGATGTCTACAGCTACGGAGTCCTACTACTTGAACTTCTCACTGGAAAGTCCCCTGTCCATGCCGTGGGCGGTGAAGAGGTTATCCACTTGGTCCGGTGGGTCCACTCTGTTGTTCGTGAGGAATGGACGGGTGAAGTATTTGATGTTGAGCTCTTGAGGTATCCTAATATAGAGGAAGAGATGGTAGCAATGTTGCAAATAGGCATGAGTTGTGTTGCAAGAATGCCGGAACAGAGACCCAAAATGGCCGATGTAGTAAAAATGGTTGAGGATATTAGAAGTGTCAATACGGGCAATCGACCATCTTCTGAAACGAAGTCACCAGGTTCGACACCAAGTTTAACGCCACCTATGGCGCAGATTGGATCCTCTTCAGTTTCATAAATGGTTTCTTGTTTCTTGAAAGTAGTTTATGTGATATAGTTTTCTTTTCCCTGTCTTCTTTTGTTTTTTTAAAGTGTTGTATTCTCCAATTATTCATTAGGAAATTGTTGGTCACATTGTTTGGTTGTTTTAGTAGTTTATGTTGATCTTCTTTACCTAAATTGGTTTATAACTTGTTGCATAAGTTGACGAAAAAGAAGTTAGAATTGTTTATTGTAATGTTTTAATCTTGTCTAGTATGACTTATCAAACATGTCTTGTCAAGAGGCAGTTTATATCATTGTTTACTTGTGCACAATATTAATTATGACTAAGCCTGCAAGCGGTTTAGTCTAGGTTGGTTTCGATCCCAACCCGAAATCGAAATCAAAATCAAATTAGTCGGTTTGGACAAATTTTAACCAAAATCAACATACTCTAGCTCCTAAAGAGAACCGACCAAAACTAAATTGATTTGGTTTGATTTGGCTCAATTCGGTTCGTTTGGACTTTTAGTCCAAATTGAATTTTTTTTATTTTTTTAAATTGTCCGAATTTTGGGCCCACTTGAATTACAAGAACTAAAATAACAAAATAACTTTATATTACAAAAACTATTGACTAAAGTATAAAATTAGGATAATAAAGACAAATCAATAGAATATTTAAGAATTTTGTTGCTTTTTATGCATTATGTAGCCTGACTGCCTACGTAGGGAAAAAAAAGCTATATAACTTAATGAGTTTGTGAAAGGAAATTTCTAATGCTATTACTTATTGGCAACATCAAAGATATTTATGAGATTATGGTTTATCTTTTAATTTTTATTTTTCTTAAAAAATAATAAAAAAAGGTAAACATGTAAGTGGGTTAGGTTGGTTCAGTTAACCAGCGATTTGATGCTTCAAACTATGGTTGAATCGACCCATCATGGTTTTGTTTTAAAAAAAAATCAAATTAATTACCTGTGTCAAATTGACTCGAACAGACCGAGCCGGTTTGATTTGATTGGTTTGGTTGATTTTTCTATTTTTTTTTTGCCTTGGCCAAATTATGACCGGCTCATCATCTACATTGTCGTACGTAACCAATTTGGATTATGCTTTCAATATTCTGTAATTTTGGTGTTGATTGACTTAGATCATTTTCAAGAATACCAATTTTCTCTTATGGGGTTTTCAGGGAAGCTGGAAGAGAGATGAAGATATGACAACTCCGACAACTTGGAGCTGTGATTCAGAGAGAGATGATTGATAATGTAAATATTATACTTATCTTGACCATTAAAAATAATTTTTGGAAGTAATTTTATGAACTAGATATTTAACTTTTGTGTGTTTTTTGATTATTTTATGAGAAAACCCGAAATTGGAGGAGAACATATTAGAATGTGCAATAATTGATAAAAAAATGAGTAAAGTTGGACATATCTTGAAAGTTGAGGATCAAGGAGTCACATTCAAATGTTGAAGGACCTCAATTGAAATATTTAAGGACTCAATCTGAATTATAAGAGGAGGCAGAGACTAAATTGCACTAGCAATTTGAGATATCCTATTTGACTAAGGTGATGGTTCTCAATCCTCTTGGTATTCCATTTTAGACTTAATTTACGTTTACAAATAAGATCTTTTAATCAAAATTAGGGGAGGTGGGTGATATAATCTTGAGGCAAAACGACACTTCCATATACATCGAATCCTAAAGAGTTGCATCTCAATTTAGGATTTTAAGAATACAATTGATCTAGAGATATACAAGATTGATGATCCATTGTTCAGAATTGAGTGCCAAAGAACAACAATCACTAGGATTCTTTTCTTTATTCCTTGTATTGAACTCAATTATATTTTCTAATCCTTTTGTGATATAACTTCAATTATATGATTGACTCAATAATTGACAATTGGATGAATGATATAGTTTAGGTTTAATATTTCTTTAATTTTAAAAATTTCATGCAATTTTGATTAAATTTTAATTGCTTATTGTGTATTTCATTGACATTTAATTGTTTGATTTATGGATATCCGGATTGAGAGGAGACATATTTGTCTAGTTCGCACAATAAGCAATTTAAATTTTATTAAAGACTGGGAGATGATTATAGCATATGCAAATTTGATTGAATTTCTACAATTAATGATTTTATATGTATATAAATTTGCATAGAGATGTGATAAATTTGAGCATCTGAATATGGTTAGTTTTGCTCGAGAGAGATTGCTAACAAATATTAGTTAATTCGATTGTTAATACATATGTTGAACGAGTTTTGAATTGAATGAATATTAAATGAATTTGGTGTATTCTGAATTCCTAATTAACCACTTAATCCAATAGTCCTCCAAAACTTAGATTATTTAGGTTAAATTAAATTAGTTAGTATAATTTACATAGAGCATACTCTTAATTTAATAATTTTTCACCACATTAATTTAGATTAAAGCTAGATAAGGATAAAAGTTAAGAGTAAACAGGGATGTATCACTACAGCAAATATAGCATTTTGCAACGTTCAAAAAACGTTGCCAAATATTTTTTGCAACGTTCAGACGTATGTTACATACTTCGATGTTGCCATAGATCAGAAGGATACGACAACATTTTTTGAATGTTGCTAATACTTTTTTGCAACATTTTTTGAATGTTGCTAATAACCTTTTTGCAACGTTCTTTAAATGTTGTTAATAACCTTTTTGACAACATTTTTTTTAGCATTGCTAATAATCTTTTGCAACGTTTTTTGAGTGTTGCTATTAACCTTTTTACAAAGTTTTTTAAACGTTGCCGTTTCCTACATTTTTTAAAAAAAAGAAAAATTACTACATATATTGTTATATTTTATTATATTATTTTAAATATATCAAACTCATTTCACAATAATCTTTAAGTTTATTTATGCAATAAAATAAATTTGTCATCACAAATTCTTTTCTTACAATCATCTTAGAAAAAATAAAATTAATTATATAAAAAAAGACAACTTAAAACTACACTTTTTGTACAAATTAAATTAACAAAAAGAAGATAAAGTACATTAATGGGAACTTTCCAACTACAAATTCAAGCTAGACGATATCACCGACAAGGATTCCATAGGCATAAAGTTATGTTGCGCATCAATTGCAACAAGTTCTTTGGCATGACGGATGAGCTTCGACACAAACTTCGCGCTTTCAATCCCACCTTGGGTTTTGGTGTACAAAGTTCATCAAGTTATTAATCTATCCAACATATGAACATATAGATGCAATTACACAAGTCTTGATTCAAATGAACCTTATATTAATGTAGACAAGCTACATTCCCATTTTTATTTCTTCAAGTGCTTCCAGAAAACCAGATGAATGTTGTCCAATGTCTTCAATATCAAGGGCACGAATTCTTGTGCAAATAAATTTTCCTAATGGTCTTCCCATCTTGCTGGAAGAAATCTAGCATTTAGATGGATGAACCTGTGGAATTACCAGTAAGTCTTAGGAGTAGAATTTCTTACTGCGAGTTACCTGCCAAGGCCATTGCCTCCAATTGAAAGCAAATTTAGTGGTGTCTCCATAGTCGAAAGGACTTCTAAGAGCTGGCTCATTCCATCACAAGCAACTTCACAATTCTCAAGCTTCAAATTAGAAAAGGGCAAAGATCTCCCAGACATCTCAACAAAGTAGGGGATACATGGACCTAACATCAATGAAAAAAACAATTAGATCCTGACAAATGTAAGGATTTATCCGGCATTAGAGTTCTCATTAGGTTAAATTTTTAATTACAGGACCAAATCATTTGAACTTTTTTTTTTCCAGAAAAGCAATGTACATCAACTGCATCAGGAACCTAAAATTTCATTTGATGTAATGCACGCTATTAAAAATTGGTAATAACACCGAATTTCATATAACAAAGTCACCACCCAGGGAAATATAAAGAAATGAAAGCAAGTTTAATTATCTTTAGCTAACAATCTGTAATTTTCTGAATAAATGATTAGGCGGCTAGACAAGGCAAGGCAAACGATGATAAACCCATTGAACCAAATATTTGCAGCAGAAATAAAGAAAAAATTATGACTAGACCCTTGTTTGATAATTCCTCAAATACATGATCATGTTTATACGTATGTTACCCTAATCAAAAAGTACAACATCGGCATGAAAATTGACAAATGGAATCATATTATATGGCAAAGTAAACTCCTATCAATTTGATCCAACATATCTGACAAGGCATTGCCCCTCACCGCACCAAAAGAAAAAGGAAACAGACTAGATAAATGAATCAAAATAAAACTACCACCACGACTCTGTATAGGCAGAATGAGCCTGGGGTAATTAGCATCGAGGCTTGGGCCCTCTCCATTTTGGGCTTTCCGTCTCATGCAAATTAACTCATGAACTCCACCAATCAGCTAAAAGTATGTAACAGTTCACTTGATAATAGATGAGATAATCATTGGGAAAGAAGTAAATGTATACCTCATTGACTGAAAGATGTGAGATATCCCCATACTCCTTTCTGAAAACCAATCTAGCTATTTAACATTGATGCTACCAAAAATTGTATCTAGTCAAACCCGAGCCAAATGGAAGAGCTCCGCACGATCCGATCTTCAATACCTGAAACAAAGGTGTCGAGGTATGTCCTCGTCGCCTCTCTGATGCTTAAGTCAGATAGGTGCTTAAGAGAAAACTTATGTTAAATGCTATAAAAAACGTACCTGAATAATGAGGA